AACTAAAACTACTAAACTACTACTACTAAAAAAACCATCCTATTAACCTCATGTGTTTTTATTTATATTTTTATGTGTTTTCTCTAATTGTCTTTTTTCTTCTTTTTCTGTTTCTGTTTTTTTCAAAAATTATATCTTATTACGTTATTTTTGTTGTGTTTGGTCTTGTGTGATAAATGTATTGTTTCGCCTGTGTTAATAATAAATAAATAAATAAATAAACACAAATCAGAGATACAGAAATGTTTCCAGCCTGAGAGTCAGGACCCCTCAAAGAGTCCCAAAATAAATCTGAACCATGACCAGACATTTAAAGGGATTATATAATAAATTACACACTATTTTCTTTCTCTGTTTTTTCTGGCTGTTCTAATTTTTGTGTTTGTATTGTGACGATTTCTCCTCTTCCTGCGGGTCATCTAGAAATCCTTGAAATGAAACAGTCCAAGAGGGGAGTCGCTCTTTGGTTTAACTGTTTATAACAATAGGCATAATCTGTGATTAGGAGTCACAAGAAGACATTTAATGAGCCATTGGAAACTTGCTTCTGTTCAAATGTAACAGCCGTTTAATATAACACAGGCCCACAGCTCAGACTGACTCAGGTTAAGACTGCCACTTTGGTGTTTCACTGCAGATTGTGCTCTTGATTTCAGATTCTCAATGAATGGGACGCAGATTGCTTACATGCAACCATAAAGGACACATGTGTAATCTGGTGAAATTGGGTTTTTAACATGAGAATACAACAATAAAACTGGAAATTCATAGTCAGTGGATTATGTTTAATGTATGATAGATGTATATGATAGATTCAGGCCTCCTTCTTGCAGTAGTTGAGTACTGAAAGCCAGTGAAACATTTTATTTCTGGGTTTCACCATTAAAAGTAAGCGAATATTAACCCAACATCACTTTATATATTATATTACTGGATTATAATTACTTGTGCATTCATGGGGAAGTTGCTAATTTTATCTGCTGTAACGTCACATTTTATAAACTGTTTTTTTGTTTTACATGTAAAATCTTAATCTGGTGGAAAGTAATTAAGTACATTACAGTTCAGAGGCATGTATACTGTACACATTGAACTTTTTACTGCACTATATTTATTAGATATGGTCAGATTAGATAAGACTTTATTGATCCCCTGGGGGCAAAATTCACAACCTATACGCAGCAGAATAAAAAGTGATAAAAATTAGCTCCAGCTTAACCAGCTACAACATTAATATGACCAACACATTGTTCATCAATAGTTATAATCGAATAATCGGATATACATCATTCTGAAATGGGCCATTCTCTATAATGAGTGCTTTTATTTTGGTAGGCTAAATTTGTTTGACTGCAACAATCCCAAAAAAAGGGTCAATAATGACTAATTTAATATATTAAAGCAGGAACTTTCACTTTGTGTTGATTCATAGCTGTAATTATGGAGGCTTTATGTCAGCAAATAATCTTAATAATCAGTTAATAATATACATGCATCAATAACGGCCTAATTTAACAACATGATCCATGATGATAAACATTTTTCTAAAGATTTTAGACACAAATTATGTTTTCACCTATGTATTTATTTACTGTATAGGTAACTTAAAGGATAACAAGGGTAATAACACATTTATTAAATGGCCTATTTTCCCTAAAGCCAAATAAACTAACTTCAAAATAATTCTGAATTCTGAATTTCTTTAATATATATATATATATCTTTTTAAATAACTTTTAAATGATTTTTCTTATCTCTTAAGTAAAAACCAGCACTGTACAGTTATATCAAATATTCACACCATATTATTATATAATTATTCTGTATAAAAATACTGTATATAGTACAAAACCCTAATTCTATTTTCTTGATATCTTGTATTTTTCTAATTTATTTAGTTATTTAATGTGTTTTTTTTCCCCCCCCATCTGCTGTTTTACATCTGCAGCTGCTATATCAAATGCATTTCCCCAGCGTGGGATCAATAAAGTCTTAAAATCTTAAATTATATTCCAGTAAAATAACACAAAGATTTTTGGGACTATTTCACACTTCTTGCTCTTAATGAGTTTATTTTGTTCTGTTCCCATATGTTATCATTCTTATAAACCCCCACAGGTTCCTGTATGTTTAATAAATTAATAAATAATACAGTAATAAAATGATTGAGGAGTGCTGCAGCGCCCCCTGCAGGTGAGCTGTGTGCAGAGAATAACTCCAGTCCACCTTAAATGTTTGTGAACAACATGGCGTATGCGTGTGTGTGTGTGTGTGTGTGTGTGTGTGTTGTGTGTGTGGTGGCCGCCCTGCAGGAACACTGACTCGACGCTTATCCCCTGTTGTGTTCTTAGGGAGTGTGTGTGTGTGTGCGTGTGCCACGGAGGGAACTCCACAGTGGAAAGTACACACACACATTATCAACTCCAAAAAGAGTCCAATGGTCAGTGTTTGCATCTCCTGCTGCACAAAACACCCAGACTGCACCGGGGCTTCAAGGCTGACTGCGGCAACCGAGCACGTCCGGATTCAGCCACAAAAAAACAACAACTACCCCCCCCCCAGCCCCTAAAAAAGGAGGGGTGAGAAAGTTAGGCCGGGGTATTCGCAAGTCAGTCATGTCCGGACAACCTGGATTCGGTGAGCCCGTTTTACAGACCGCGTGTCTCGCTGCCTGCAGCTCCGGCGGGAAAGCCAAACTCACCCACCCTGGGAAGGCCGATCCCGGCAGGGTTTAAGAAAGGTTTTGTTGATGATGGAAGGGGAGGGAGGGAGGAAGAGGAGAGGAGGAGGAGGTCGGTCCTTGCACACACACACACACACACACACTGAGGAGGCTGCTATAAAGTTGTGTATAAGTTTTTAGGTGTGTGTGTGAGATGTGTTCAGAGGCCTCAGCTGCTGCACTGAGATCAGACTGTAACATGCACAGTAAAGGTGGACTGCAGGCAGGGAGAGAGAGGAAGGCTCTTTAAAGGCACACTGGAGTTAAAAACAGTAAGAAGTATAACAGGAGTATACGTTAGGATGATGTGTGGGAGCAGAAAATGCTTTTATTTCAGACTATATTTACTATATTAAAGCTGTAATTAGGAACTTTCCCTTAGTGTTGATTCTGGCGACCCCTGTGGACAGAAGCGGTAGTGTTTCTAACGCTTTATATTACATTATTAATAACTATACAGAAACAGCTAATCCTCTCCCTGATGGTTTGTTTATGTAGCTCATAACTATTATAATATTATAATTAACTATAATTATTGACATTTATTCACTGTTAAACTCCAGGACAGCAGCAAATATTGATGAGGTTGCAGAAGTATATGCTGATTTTAAAGGACCAGTTGTGTTGGATTTAATGGCTTCTAACGGGGAACAGTTAACTGAACACTGCTCGCGTCTGTATTTGACGATAGCTGTGAAGTGTGTAAGATAAACTACGGTGGGCTCTGTCTACAACCAGTGTGCAGTTTGTCCGTTCTGGGCTTCTGTAGAAACATGGCGTCCTGCAGCGTCTCATTCTAAGGTAACAAAAACACAATTATTCAGGTGATTAAACACTAATGAAAACATACCTATGATTATTATATTCCTCCTAAATGTTACACATTGGACCTTTTTAATTGCAAACAATCACATATATCAATATTGGCTTTTGGGGTGTAAGAAAATATAAAAAACTAAAAAATGTTGTGTTAAATATCAGTGTAGTAAACATAAACTGAGGGCTATGATGTTGGTAATGGATCACACTTTTCATTAAAAAGTAAACTTTTTTTATTCATATAGTGGTGAGTTCTTTATACTTTGACAGTTTTCCTAAAATAAAATGTAAAACAAATTGCAATATATCGAATCACTCGATTAGAAACTTGAAATGTCTAAAGGTGGCATTATAATTTCAATTAATGTCCAAATTTTCTGATATTTTTCTAAATACATGTCTTGTTTCATCAAACTTCTTCAAAGTCTTCGTCTAAAATGTGGCCGTAACATACGATTAAAGGTCCAGTGTATAACATTGAGGAGGATTTATGTAATATAATATTCACAGGTATGTTTTTATTAGTGTAAAACCTGAAAATAAGAATAGTTGTGTTTTTGTTTAATTAGAATGACACGTTTTCTATCTACCTTTTATGTTTCTACAGCAGCACAGAAGGGACAAACCAAACACTGGCTGTAGATGGAGGTGTTGTTCAGCTGTTATGGAGCTCCTACACACTGGAACTTTTAAATTAACATTTTAGCATGTTATTTTAAAAAATTAATCTAAATTAAAGTGTTAAATTTGACACCAAACTGGTATTACAGCTCTAGATCCTCCCCTGCGGGACGGATTCTGTCACACAGAAGCAAATACCTGTATCTTGTGTCTTGAGGCTGGAATTTGGACAATCGGTTGTGTCTGTGGGCGACCTTTAACCTTTAACCACGCATCCTTTTCAAAGAAACCTGACTGACGTGAACTTGCTTGTCTCGTTAGTCAATCAGTGACGAGCTCAGCTCAGCGTGAACTACAGATAAATGATTATTGGTAATATTGCAACATCAGTAGGAGGTAAAAGAGAGCCGATTGCAGCCCGATTGTACGGCGCTATTGATCACGTTCCGGTCACTTTCTGTACAGTCTTCTGTCAGCAGTTTGGTGGGTGTTTTCTGTTGCCCCATTGCCCTTATGCTGTGTGCTCAGAGGGCCCCCGGGGGTCCATGTAAAGTTGCATGAGCCACGATGACAAAGCACTTTGCTGCCTCTGTCTGCACATGCTCACCTGCGTTACAACATACATGTTTGGTCCAATTCAGGACCCTTTTTATGCAAAGGGGGTCAATCAAAGGCTCGACCTGTATTAAAGCTTAATATAGAGGTATGTGTAGCGTGAAGGGACAAAACCAGGTACAGACAAATGATCAGGGCTCACTTTCATTGAACTAATGACAAAGCATCTATCTGCAAGTCACAAGAGAATAATAAGATCACATGCTTAGGCTTTATGCAACCGCTAATCCCCACTGAAACAGTTATAATGTGGGTGAATATCTGTGACTGAACACAACTAAAATGCCAAAAACAACAGATTTTAAGGAATAGTTTTGTGATTATTGTTGTAACATCAAGTTCTACTTTTATTGTCACAGTTTTTAAAGGAAAACTTCAGTAGTTTAGGACGATGAGAGAAGATCGATACCACTCTCATGTTTATATGTGAAGCTACCGGCCAGCAGACAGTTAGCCTAGCTTAGCATAAAGACTGGAAACAGGGGGAAACTGCTAGCCTGGCCCAGTCCAGCAGATAATAACCACAACATGAAGCTTTTATACCTTTATTTTTAAAACAAAGAAGATATAACGTGTTAATTAATGATCTTTTAGAGGTACCATGCTAGCTGTTTGCTAAGCTAACTATCTCTTCGCTGTAGCTTTTACATACAAACATAAGAGTGGTATTTATCTTCTCAACTAACTCTCAGCAAAGAAATATGACCTTAAATGTTGACGTATTCCTTCCAAAAGAGAGGACTTGCTGTTACAATAACAAGATATTAAGATTTAATTATGAGTAACGTAACGCTAGCATAACTTCATCCTGTGTTTACTTAACATAAAACATTCTAGCCTTAATTATTAGAACATAAATGAACAGATATTGCATGATTTATTTGGAATATTAGGAAGGTAGATACTATTACATAGTAGAACCAGTTACATTAACAATGCAACCATATTCCAGTGTATTATGATGCTGTGTTGCCTCCGCTGAACCCTCGGGGAGTTATTTTATCTGAACTCTTTGTGTCTTTAAAATGTGTTCAATATTTCCACACATGTATGAACTCAATAAACTGGTTCTGTATCTATTTCCAGCCTGAATTACAGGGACATACGCCAGGTACTACATGCAGGCCTGTTTACCGAAGATGATGATGATGTGGACTGTTTGTTTGTGATTCAAGCTTAATTTGTAGGTAGAGCTGCAGCTGTAAATCCAGTCTCTAACCAGAGGAATGCCTGGGTGTGTCATTACCAGCACTTTTAGAGCCTCAGTGAGGTTGCCAAAATGCACTTGATGTTTTTTAGCGAAAACACTGATCCATCAAGCTGTGATCTTGTGATTGCTCGCGCAGCCTGACTCGCATGGAAACTGGTGGTGTGTTGGTCTGCATGGTGGTTTGGTAGAGAGAATGCATGTTGAAAGAGTGAACAAAGAGCCTTTTTTATGTGTGTGGGGGTGAATCTATTTGCTTTCCTTCAGTTTCAAGGTTTTTTAACACTTCTTTAGTCCTGTGTTAAACGCACAATAAGTAATTTCTGCACGATAACATAAGTCAAAGTTTGATGAGGTGGTGAAGCAGCGTGGGATCATGGGAGTTGTTGTCTTCACCACCATTGGCGTCATTTGCAGTCCTCTTCTCCTGATTAATTCCTTCAGTGTTCATGCGTTCAGCAGCGTTCTACCCAGCGAGCCCAATTATCCATACGAGGTTCTCTCTCGTCCACAACAAATCAGACCCCGCGATTAAAACCAGGATTTCCTAAAATTGCCCTCGCTTTCTCGGATGCTGTGTTGTAGACACGTAAGGACGCGCGCAGGGGCTGCGAGCTCGAGCTGCTGCTAACGTTAGCCCTCAGCTTGTTGTCTCTGTAACTTCAAGATCCAGACGTCCATGACTAAATCCTTCCATCTGGTTCAAAATCTTACGAGTTAAAAGCACAAGATCTACCAACAGTCGGGATGGTAGAACAATGGTGGCTTTCAGACATGGATAAACAGTCAATGTATGACAGCTTTCTGGCAGACAACACACACGCTGATGCAGGCCACTAAAAGGGGTATGACGCCATCGACAGCGCCCGGGTAAACACAGCGTTACCTGAGATAAAATGAAGATTCTCTTGGAGTTCGAAATGGTTGGAAACATTTGAATTATGATAATGTAAGAACACAACTACACATAGAACATAGAGCCAGAGTTTATACACTGTTTAATGAGGAAATGTTACAGATTAGAGCTTTAAGCATTTGTAGCTGAGCAGATTTTGGATGTTTCAGCTGTGGGATGACTGGTCCAACTTGTTTTAACTGTTGCAGACTCAACAGAAACTTCTCTTTACTCTGCTGTACTTTACTTAAACCTGTCACTGCTGAACGCACACTGTCACCGTCTGACGGCCGATATCGTGTTGCTGAAAGGTGATGATGTGGTGAACAGTATGTGCTCTGTAGGTACACACCCCCTTGAGCTGGAATCAGGCCAGGGGGGAGTAACTGTAGGCCGAATCACACTGAGATCAGCCGAGCCAATCAGCTGCCGGCTGCGTGTTCGCTGTTGAACGGCAGATGTGTGACAACCAGGGTTTTAAGGTGGAGCTGGGAGATGAAGCTCTGTGGCGCAGACGTGCATGATGCAACAGTGAAGACTTCCTCTGAGGATTTCTAATGCTGCTAACGACTATTAAAATCTTTTTTAATGATCCTATTTCTTGCATCATGTTTTTATTTGTATTTTTCATGTTTTGTGAAGCACATTTTACTGCATCTTTGTCTATGAAATGTGTTATATAAATAAAGTTTTATTATTTTGATTACTTATTGTGAAAGATACTGTGGGAACATGCAGGACAGTGTTATTAAATTTGTAATTATTATAAAGTATTTGATTGTAAAAGTATAAAATGTTCTCATTAAGTCTACGGGATATCAAACAGTATTCAAAGTAACACATATATGCATGTGCAAAGTAGATTAGATAAAGATAATTGGTTGCTCTTTTGCTGTGTTGATGCAGTTTTACATGAATGCTGCTTTGCCCCTGAGATGCACGTGTGTGTGTTGTTAACAGAGGAAACTTTCTGACTCATGGAGTGTTTTCTCTGTTATTTCAGGTGGGATAGCCGGAGGTATAGAGATCTGCATCACCTTCCCCACAGAGTACGTTAAAACACAGCTGCAGCTGGACGAGAAGGCAAATCCTCCCAAATACAAAGGCATTGGTGAGTTTATGACCGCTGTCTGTTTGGATTTTACTGCTTTTATCACGTGTGACGATAATAAAGTTTCCCTCTCTGGCCTTTTTATTAAGTTCACCTGTAAAAGATAATTATATTTTACTTTTTAATACACACTATTTGTATCTATTTGTCTATATTGCGACAATGTTTTAAGTAGTTTTTACCTCATGTTAACCTTGGTGAAAAAGTTAAAGTACATAAGTTTAGAATCGTTCTAAATCGGCTTCAAATGTGCGTTTTTCACCCACACACTGGACCTTTCATAAATATTGTTATTTTCTAATATTTCTTAATGTCAGACATTGACTGAATAAACACACCAACGACAACAGTGGAAAGTTTGTTTTATAGTTATAACACAGTTCCCACGCACCCTGGAAAACCTGGAATGTCTGGGAAATTAGTGACTAGTTTTCCAGTCATGGAATCATCCCCTTAGTCAGATCGCCTACAGCAGTGGATGCCAACCTTTTTCCTTATAGGGACCCATTATCTATAATTAATAAACTGACAAGCGACAGTAAAAGCTGTCCAATGAACCCAAACAGTGAACTCAGTAACTGCAGGAAGTTTGTGTAAAACGAGTGGTTTGTATGAATTTTGAGCAGATTGTTTCCTGTTTAGGGAACTTTTTATACAATTCTCTGTCTGTATTCTGTATTTTTTTTCATAATTTTAACAATCGTACAGACTTAAAAGGCTTCTTTCCTGACAAATTCAGTGTTTTCTTCTCCTCTGACACTCCACCTCCTATTCTTCTATTAGACTATTGACTTGACAGAAGTAAACCAAAGGCTGAGATGTAGGCCTTCTCCGTTACACCCAATTAAAATCCTCGGCCTACCACTAAATTATATGACTGTTTGTGAGCAAGTGCTGTCCTGTATTGTCAAGAAAACTCCCTGGAAAATGATTTCTTACAAAGAGTGTGAACCCCATATAACAGAACATCATCAAACCTACTTAGTTAATGGTGTGACTCAAACATTAGATGGTTTATGTTGGTTTGATGAGCCACTCTATCGATGCCACCGCTCCCTTTAGAGTCTGCAGTAGGTTTGGCAGATTTGAGCGTGAACATGAAGCAACAGATTGTGTATTTGTGCAGTGAGTTAGTATTTGTTATCTGTTCAACCGGAGCTTGTGAACCTTGGCACAGACCGTGTTTGTCTGCGGAAACTCGTCGTTATGAGCTGCTGCAACGGACACATAGCACCCGAAGATTTGTCTTTTAACAACTTTCCTGTTACAGAAAGATTTTAATAACAAAGCAGCTGCTGATTGTGTCAACGCAGTGCGCTTGATCTTGGCAGTGGTGCAGTCTTTACATGAGTTTTCTCTTCCCCTCTCTGTGTCCTGCAGGCGACTGTGTGAAGCAGACAGTGAATGGTCATGGGGTGAGGGGTCTTTACAGAGGGCTGAGCTCACTGCTGTACGGCTCTATACCTAAAGCAGCTGTCAGGTACTGCAACCCTGCAACCTTACACACCTGTAAACGCCTAAACACACACTTTATAAAGTGTTTGCACTGTAAGTTGTGGAGCTAGAGCAGAAAATGTCAGTAGTTGATTAATCATTATCATTTTATATCATTATAAATTGAATATATTGTAATTTTTGGGCTGGATTTTTGAAACAAGCAATTTAATTTTTTTTCCTTCTACTTTCTCATATTTTTTACAGCTAATTCACTTAAAATAAATTCATAGATTAAGCAATAATCAAAAATAATTAGTTAATTGCATCCCTTACAGTTTGTAATTGGAGAAATAAATAATTTACTGATGCCTCACAAAGTAGTTATGAGTCAAAGAATCAGAGCAGCAACTAAACCTCAATTAATCAAATTGTTTGGTCAATAAATATAAGGAAAGTAGCAAAAATGACTGAATCAATCAATTATTATTTTTTTAATCAATTAATTGTTTCAGCTCTAATAAGAACAATGTTTGTGTTGCCAGATTGTGGAAAAAAAACAATAATAAATATAATGCTGCTTAGAGCTGCAACTTATGACTATTTTCATTATCGATTCATCTGTGGATCATTTTCTGGATTAATTGATTAGTTGTTTGGTCCATTAAATGTCTGAAAATGGTGAAAAATGTTTTAGATATTCAGTTTACTGTCATAGAAGACTAAAGAAACCAGAAAATATTCACAATTAAAAAGCTCAAATGAGAGAATTTAGACATTATTATTATTATTAAAATAGCTGATAATAATAATAATAATAATTGAATTGACTAATTGTTGCAACTCTAATGCAGTTATAAATGTTGGTAGTTCATTAGTAGATGGGTTTATTACTTGCTTTCTGCCTAATAAAGAGGTTTTATTCCATCAAGTCTGCAGTTGTAAATGTTAATAATTTATTAATGAATAGATTTTTTAAGTAATGGTCCAACAGCTCCACAACCTGCCAACCAAAAAGTAATTAACGTTATTATTTTATTAATGGCTTACACATCAATAAAACCCCTGCCAGTTATCTATTAACCATTAGCAAAGCCACAACAGCAAGGCTCTTTTATAAAGTGGTACTTTATAGTACTTTGAGTCATTAATATTCGTTTTATTCCCCATTAACTTGTGCAGATTTGGGATGTTTGAGTTCCTCAGCAATAAGATGCGGGATGAAAACGGTAAACTGGACAGCAAGCGAGGATTCCTCTGTGGCCTGGGGGCTGGAGTTGCCGAGGCCGTGGTCGTCGTCTGTCCCATGGAGACAGTAAAGGTATAAAAACCAGACTTATTAAACACGCATTCATTAGTTTATTTTGTATTAAGCGTCACAAACATGTAAACATTTCATTTTAGGTCAAATTCATTCACGATCAGACGTCAGCGAACCCAAAGTACAAGGGGTTCTTCCATGGTGTGAGGGAGATTGTTAGAACTGAAGGTAAAGAGGGTTTCTCCATCCGTCTGTAGCATTTTACTGCCACCTGCTGTTCCAACTCCAACACATACTGAGTTTGCCCTGCACCATTTCCCATGTATCTGAGTCATCGCATGCATTATTTAGAGGATAATATTCTCGAAAGGTTCATTAATCTGTTGCGTCTTCAGGACTGAAGGGGACTTATCAAGGCCTAACAGCCACCGTGTTGAAACAGGGCTCCAACCAGGCCATCCGCTTCTACGTCATGACCTCCCTGAGGAACTGGTACAAAGGTGTGTGAGTGGATAAATAAATAATCACCACAAACAACCATTGATGCAGCCAAAAAATAATCATCTCTTGTGTTTAACATTAAGGTGATGACCCCAACAAAGCTATTAACCCTCTGATAACTGGGCTGTTTGGAGCTGTTGCTGGTGCTATCAGTGTGTTTGGAAACACTCCGCTGGATGTCATTAAAACCAGAATGCAGGTTGGTTGAATATCGTGATCACAGCTTAGAGCCTCGTAGTTTAACCCCGAGCAGGTGTAACTAACGTGTGCGTATGTGTGTTATTATCAACAGGGACTCGAAGCTCACAAGTACAAAAGCACAATGGACTGCGCCGTCAAGATCATGAAGCACGAGGGACCGATGGCGTAAGTTTCACTTGTTAATAATAATAATAATAATAATACAGACTGTTGGAGCTTATATACCTTTTTAAAGGATTCACTTTCACACATCAATAATTCACCAGTAATGATTTGTCTATATGTCAGCTACCACATGGTGGCAGGTAACTAGAGACCAGAATACATGTAGGACAAATCTGGAGCTGTGACTATTTCTTTGTGGGACAAAGTGACTTACTGGTGTCTAACTGACTGAACACTGCTCGCGTCGGGATTTGACACTCTGGGAATGGGAACGGGCTGTGAAGTGTGTAGGAGAAACTACGAAAAAGTGTGAAAGCCCCTTATCTAGAGCCAGTGTTTGGTTTGTCCGTTCTGGGCTACTGTAGAAACATGGAGGTCCAACATGGCAGACCAAACCCAGATTAAAAACGTCTCATTCTAATTAAACAAAAACACAACGGTTCATATTTTCAGGTGATTATAAACTAATGAAAATATACCTGTGAATATTATATTATATTTCTGACAATAGATCTTCCTCAATGTTACACACTGGAGCTTTAACAACTGTTTCAGCTCTGGTTTTGCTTGGCACTATTCACAGCTGAAAAAAATAACTTTCACCTCATCTGCTGGTTTTATTTTGCGTGGAAAAAACTCTCTAAAATCTTTAATATTCTCGTAAAAATGTTGGAATGTAACACTAAGCTTTTTTGTTGTCTTATGTTGTCATGACAACTTCCTTATCTGGGATTTGGATTTCGCCTCACTTTGTGTGTACATATCTAGCAGCTTTGGTAATAGGCGGAGGCCAACATTAGCTCAGCGTCAGTGATCCAATCAACAACTGAGGGGATTAAGTCCGGTACGGTGGGAGCCAGAATGTTCAATCAAAAATGAATCACCAAGGAAGTGGGTGGGCTTGGAGCAGAGCTTTCGTCCATCCATCAGCTCCAAACTGTCGACCCAAAACCGCAACTGCTTTCCAGTCTTCATGCGACTTTTGTTTCCAAGCCATGGTTCACCGGGAACTGGGCAGTGTGAACCTAAACGAACCACATACAAACATACAACAAAGTCTTCCACTACGGTTTGGACCAAAGAAAACACTGGCACCCAGCAGACAGGCCTTACCAAAATCATAATACGAAAGGCTTAATGGAAGGCCAGAGACCGTCAGACTGCTTTAGTCTTTGTTGTGTCTCTCAGGTCACAGGTTCACTCAAACACGAGCCAAACCAAACAGATTGAAGTTCTCAGTTTTGGGCCGTAAACTCTCTAAACTGTAACAGACGACCTCTCTGCTCCAAGCCCACCCACTCTCTGGGAAATACAATTTTGTTCGATTTGTAGTGCTCGTTGCGTTCAGTACGTCTTCATTTTGTTTATTGTGAATATGTTTTGGCTTGTATGTTTGACTGCAAACTCAATTGGAGGGCTAGTGGTTTTAACTTGACCTCAAAAATATCCTGAGAACTTTTAAATCCTGTGTCATCCAAAGTGCACGTCCGCCTGGCTCCGTGTGTGCTTTACCTGATCAAAACTCAATTATGGTCTTCAGTTGATGTCGTTATGGGTTACTTTTTTGTAGAAGTGGCACTACGAGTATATCTTCCATCGTTTTTGTTTGAATGCAAAGAGTATTTCTAGGAATCTCTAGCAATTTATTAAGTTCTCTATTTTTATGAGCATTTGTTATTTATCTTGGAATGAATACATGAAAGAATACATTAGTTGCAGATACTGCCAGTTTAGCAGTTAAACAGAGTAGACGTTTCTGCTTTAACTTAAAATATGTCCAATGAAAGAATTTATTGAAACATGTCAAGACATCCACTGCATCACTATTCTAGTCCATACACAATGTGTAGATTATATGCACACATGCATAGCCAGAGGAAAAGGTGAAGAGTTAAATAAAATATATTAAAATAATAGACTATACTATATGAGACAAAAGTCATTTCACTCCCTTTTTGTTTTTAACATCTCTGATTTTTGTGTCATAAAGTTAAAAAAACAAATCCTGTTAACTAAAAGCAGTACTTTTAGTCTTTATCCATCGTGTTGCCTTCAAAATTCAGAATTTTGTCCTTAACCTGCATGTAGAGATTATTCTCAAATCTTTCTCCTCATAAAATGCTCAACATCATCCATATTATGTGTAAATACAATAAAACAAAGAAGGGATGGAACATAGTTTATTTCTTGTATTAAATATCCAGTCTAACCTCTCCATGTTTCACCAACAGACTCAAAAACTCTTTGGTCCCCCTGGCCTTCAGACTGTACAACAGCTCTCAGT